ATCCTGGCCAGCAACATCAGCATCTAGTGAAAACTTGCTAGACATGCAGTCCCTTGGTCACACTCAAATCAGAAAGTCTGGGTGAAGTGGTCCCATTATCTGTGATCTAACAGGCCTTTCAGGTGTTTCTGGTGCACACCATGACTGCCTTGATTCCATCTGTCTATTGCTCACCGACTAGTATCCTAATTTACTTAGAAGACCATGCCTTCCCAACAGACTTGTGCTCTCTCCCACAGACCCTTCATGGAGTCTCTTAGAGCATTTACATCACCTGCATCTGTCTATCTTTGAAGGTGAAGGCCACAACATAAATTACTTTACATCTACATATAGCCCTTTCTCAGTGGTCTGTTAATAAGTGCTGATGAGCTAGTGAATGTATGCATGAATGAAGGACAGCATTTTAGGAGGAGTTGTGATCAATAAGGTCAGCTGCAGTGGAGAGATCACGGAGAATAATGAATGAAAAATCTATTGGATTTCACAGTAAGTCAGGTGTTGGTGACCTTTGAAATGCTTGCTTCAGCAGAGTGATGGGCAGGGAGCCCAGATTGTTGGAAGTTAGGGGTATCCAATATGATAAGGACTTACACATTTCTTACTGTTTATCTGAACATACAGGATTTTCCTGGGTGAAGTTACTGAATTACTTTTTTGGTTGCTAAATTAACTCCATTTAGCCTGTGATCTTAGGATATATGATCTTTGTAAATGATGTGTTTTCTAATCTTTAAATTAAATGAAATTATTATAAACCCTAGAATGATACAGGACTTGCAGTAAGTGCTCAAATGGCATTTCCCTTATTTGTCCAGCCCATGATTATTTTTCTTCACTGATGCTGTTGAAGACATCACTCCATGCATTTTATAAAAAGTGAACTTCTTTAGAATATTCCTCATTCCAGTCATTGCATAAATTATTAATTTTATCAGGACTGGCAAAACACATCTTTAGTTGAACCAGGCAGTAAATTTGAAATTACATATCTACCCAGAGAAGTTCCCCTAAACGTAGTTGAATCAGTGGTAGTGTTTCCAGTAATTCCCTGATGGATGGGAAATAGAATTTATGACTATATCTTAATCTTTAGTTTCAATTTGAGAAAGGGAGAAAGGGACTAAGACTATGGGAGAGTGACTGATTCATTCATTGATTCATTAATTGATTGATTATTAGACTCATGTAACTGATACATTCTTAGTCTCAAGCACACCATTAGTACTGGTATGTGGTCTTTTTCAGATGATCTTTTAGCCCAATTCATTCAACTCATGATTCCTGTTTATTATCTCTTTTGCTAGCTACAAATAGAAAGAATTCCCACTAATTATAAAGAAAATCCTGAATTTGATCTTATGGTTCATCATTCCACCATTGTTGAGGTCAGGGAATAGGGCAGACTTGCTTTTCCTCATAGACCTAACTCATGCTTCTAAACAGACGGGAGTTAGGCCTGAATCCTCCATAGTTTGGGAGATACTGAAATTCAGCAGAGTCCAGCTCTAGATTTGCACTCTTTATGTCAATCAAAAGACTACCTTCTTACTTTTTATTTCCCCACATGTTGTCAAAATTGGGTGACTCAGCTGTGTGTAGTTGCATATGAGTTATACACCAGAATTCAGGAGGCAGCTGTAGGCAGATCTGAGAGTTGGAGGTTAGCTTGATCTACACAAGAATTCCAAAGCAGCCAGGGCTACATAGTTAATCACTGTCTCAAAACAAACCCTGAACAAACACCTTAGTGATTCCTCAGAAACTGAAACCATAAAGCAGACATTTTGGTGTGGTGTAGAACCTTAACAGAATGATAATCTTTGTTGTTCCCTCTTCACACTTTCCTCTATGGTTCATCGCCTGGCCTCTTGAGAACCTTCTCATTGTGAACTAGTTGGGCTTTGTCATTAATATTATTGCCTGACTAGCCCAACGTCTTCCACACTCGGGTCTAAAACTGGGCCTAAGCCTATCTGTGTAAATACATTTTTACTGCAACACTCACACATACATTCGCTTTAGCTTTATGTGTGTATAGAGCTCCTTCCATACTCTAATGTGTGAGTCTTTGTGAAGGAAAGTTGTAGCTTACAAGATTGTTAATAAATATCAGGTCCTTGTAGAATATGCTGTGGACCCTGCTGTCCATGTTGTCTTACCGCACTGTTCTTACTTCTCTTCGTATGACACATTTATAAAGGATGATCATCAACTGATGAGATGCTCAGTAGATAAGGTACATGCTGCCAGGTGTGATGATGAGCTGAGTTCACTCTCCAGAGCACATGGTAGAAGAGAACCCCCAAAAGTTGTTCTCTGACCCTTACAGGAGCACCACGGTACATGTGCATACCCACAAAAACATCAAATGTAAAAATAAAATCATAATAAAGAGCAGGAAATATCTGTATATCTTACTGTCTGGTTACAAATGGCATTTAGGGTGAAACACTTTTGACTTGTATATTTGTGCTTTTACGGTTATCTGAAAATCTCCACCCCCTACCCCCTTCTCTTTCTCTTTTGAAACCACCAGCCTCTTAGCTGCTTAATGACTTGAAAGACTGGGTAAAGTATTAGTCACTGAATACTTCTGAATGTGAGTCTGCATTCACTTTGCAAAGTTTTGAAATGCCAAACCATGCCTAAAATTTGGGATTTGGTCATAGCCTTTCTCTGTGGTCTTTTCAGTCTCTCACCTATTATGGTCTGAGGACAAACAGGCTGGTTTGATGGAGTTCGGGAGGGTTGGTGAAAGGGAAGTAGAAGAGCAGATTTCCCGGAGTTTAACACTAGGCTCCAAGCAGATCGGACACTCATTAGAAGGCTGCATAGGCAAGCTGTGCTTGAAGAACAAGCTAGCAACACTCCTCCCTTGCTGTCTGCAGCCTAAATGCCCCGTGGAGTGAGGGAAGACTTCAGTCTGCAGGCTTGTGGATCCCTTATCTTTCCCAAACGTTAAATTAATTTTTAAAGCTATTTATTCAAAGTTGACTTAACCACCAGAATAGGAGAGATCAGACAAATCAGCTGCAAGAAATGAAGTATGGGGAAACCCGAACTCTTTGACAAAGTATTCCTGGGAGTAAATGTGTTGAATGAAGCCAGTGGGTAAATGATAAGGGCCTTTACACTGTAGATGTAAGAAAGCAATTTATCAAGAGTACATGAACTCTCTAGTGGCTTCAAGTCAGGAAGAAATGAGAGTGGAGGAGGAGCCCTAAAAAATACATTAGAAATACTTTTAAAAAGAAAAAAGAAAAAAAAAAGCCCTCTGTGTGCATGCTGTTTTGAATCTCTCCATTACTATGCAGAAGTTCGGGTATGTTTAAATTGGGGTTGCTCGGCTTGTGTTTGGACTGTAGGCAATACTTCTGTGAGGTAGAGTGTTAGGCCATTCAGGAGCCTACAATCCTCAGGAACCTTGGGTCTTCTCAGGTGTAACTATGATTAAGTCAGAACACTGGTGTCTATTTCCTTGACTTATGAGGTTAGATGACCATCTCGATGGCTTATAGTGTTTGCATATTTACTCTCTAGGGCATTTACTCTCTAGCATATTGTCCTGACAGTTAATTGCAACATCTTTAGTGTCCTCTTGAAGAGTTATGGGTGCCTTTCATGGGCCATCTCTTGAATCTTGCAGTGTCTCTCAGCCCTGAGGCTGAGACATGTATTGCCTTCATCATTTACAGTGGAGAAGCTGGGACCATATACTTTATGTTCTCAGCAGAAGGGTTACCAGTAACTCAGATATGGATTGGAAGTAAAACTCAGTATCTTACCTTAAGGGTTTTAAGTTTAGGGGAGAGATGTTATTTTGTAAAGCTGAGAAGAAAACAGTGTTATGGAAATGTGAAATTCCAAGTATTTTCTCTAAGAACAGCCATCCTCAGCTTTCTCACTAGTTAATTCCATTAGCTGAAATCACAGAAACTTCCAGTTGTGGTCATTTGTTTTTATTTTCATCTGACACCCTTGTAAGAACTCTTTAATAAAGCAAGTAACCTTCAGATATGACACTAGTGAAGACAAAACTATCCCATAGGCAAACAGGAAGGAAATTTGGAGAACTAAAGTTTCAGAAAATCTCTCTCAGCTACTTGAGTTTTATTTTATTTTATTTTATTTTTTTAGCCCTTCACACAGGTGTCCACTTTCCCTTATTCTTTCTGAGTTAGGCTATGGTGTGATTGTATCTGTTTGGTTGAGATGGCTTTCCTGTGTAGCCCAGTCTGGGCTTCAATTTCAGCTCTCTATCAGTTCTCCCAGTGCTGAGATTACAGTCTTTGCTCTCCCAGATTTGAGCTAGGCCTTTAACTCTGTAATTTAGAAGATAGTCTTCCTCTCCTTTAAACTGTTTAGGAATTATAAGGTATGTTAGTAGAAGTGACGGCTTTTCTGTTTGAAAGGAAGGTCTCACTAAGTAGCCCATGCTGGCCCTAGGAAGCCTTCCTTCACCTGTGTAGCTTTGGAGCCTATCCTGGCACTCACTCTGGAGACCAGGCTGGCCTCAAACTCACAGAAATCTGCCTGCCTCTGCCTCCCGAGTGCTGGGATTAAAGGCATGCGCCACCAACGCCCAGCTTAGGAAGTGACTCTTATTGAACAAGTAATAATGGTACAGCCTGTTTTTACATTGTGAATTTGGATTCCTGTGTTTGTGTGAGGCAATAGAAGGCACGGTAATAACTTGAGCTAGAGTTTAATTAGTGAATTAGTCACATTTTTAGAAAAAGCCACAGTTATTAAAAACAAAATTCCCAGTGACTTTCTACATGTTAAATGTTTTGTCTGATGTTGTCTTTCATTTCTAAATACCAAATCAGAAAGGGGGCAAAATTGAAAGTGGGGGCTCTTGCTTAAATGTCTATGATTATGAGCTGTCTAACAAGATGGACATTGGATAATGTGTCCAATAATGTTTCTAATTTTTTTTGTCCTTTCTGTCTCCTTATTCTCATCCCATACCCGGAACATTGGTGGAACAACCACAGCCTTGGATAAGCTCAGCACACAGCACCTGTACCACCCCACTCAAGTGGAGATTGTGCAGTCCAATGTGGTGTTTGACATCAGCAGCCTGATGCTCTACGGGACACAGGCAGTGCCTGTGCGGCTAAAGATACTGCTGGACCGGCTCTTCAGTGTCCTGAAGCAAGAGGAAGTGCTGCACATACTCCATGGCCTGGGCTGGACCCTGCGGGACTATGTCCGAGGATACATCCTTCAGGTAGGGGAGAATTTAAGTGTTCAATATTGGCCACCTTTTGGTGGGTTGGATTAGACCTCCTGCTACACCTGGTTTTCTTCTTTCTCTCATATACCCAGATAGGTGTATTTTCCTCTGGTCAGGGAGTAGGAAGGAGAAACATTGTGTCTGTAGGCTACTGTCAGGCCTCAATCTTATATAGCTGAAGCAAAATGTAGTCTGTTGACTAGTGTTGCTTTCTTTGTGTGTGCCTTTGAGTTCAGCTCTTCATCTCAGAAGTGGACTGTCGTTTTCTTGTTGTGGTTTGTTTTTTCAAGAGAGGGGTTCTCTGTGTTGCCTTGACTGTCCTGGAACTTGTTCTGTAGACCAGGCTGGCCTTGAACTCAAAGAGATTTTCCTGCCTCTGCCTCCAGAGTGCTGGGATCAAGGGCTTGTGACACTACCACCTGGCTCAAAATGGGCCATCTTATTTCCCTCACTGATTCTTAACCGTCTTTGAGATGCATGGAGAGTTTTGAGAACCTGATGTCACCCTCCAGCTTGGTTTGTGAAGGTATTTTTCATGGCCATAAGGCAAGGTCTACTTGAGTACTGTGAACCCTCACTGTTTATTTTGTCTTCACCCAAATCAAGGAAAGACTGTAACCTACATTTTCAATTTGTATTAGTGATTTTTCTGTTGCTTTGGTAAATCCCCATGACCAAGGCAACTTACAGAATTCTGACTTCATTGTGGCTTGTGGTTTAAAGGCAGAGATAGTAGGTAGCAGACATAGCAAAAGGAAGAGAGCTGAGTGCTTATATTGTAACCATAAACAAGAAGTAGCAAGCAAACCAGAAATGGCAAGTCTTTAAACTTTGAAGCCTGCTTCCAATGGTACACTTTCTCCGTTAAGACCACACTTCCTAAACCTCCCCAAAAAGCACCACTAACAGGGCACGGAGTGGCTAAATATAGGAGCCTGTAGGAGACATTCTCATTCAGACCACCACACTTTAAAAGACATGTTACATCATTCCCTGATATGCCCCAGGATCAGACTATTTCAGTGAAGCAAATGTGCAGATACATCCTAGGTACCAGGCAATATGAAGGGGTACAAGATCTAGAATGCAGAGCGAGGATAAAGAAAGCTTGGGACCACTTCCACAGTCACTGTTTGTACAGGCTGAGACCCTTGGAGTACCAGATCCTCCTGCACTAGTTGCCACATAACTGTTAACATCTCTTTTGGATACATCGTTTTCCTCTACAAAAAGAAAAGAAAAGAAAAGAAAAGAAACCTCTTATAGATATCTGCCTGGATGTTGTTAGCTTAGCTAACAGTTTTCCTTTATTCAAAACCTATCTTGTAACATCTTCACTGTCTCCACTGTGGTGCTTGCTTTTGCATCTCTACTGTATTTCAGCATCATGACTGATTTTTGCCTTAGATGACAGGAGCATATGTATTGTGTCTTCCTAGTCAAATAAATATGTACATGACTATACAGGTCTACCATCATAGCAACTCTCTATTAACTCCTGTCACATTTTGATATCAGTTAATAGAAAACCTGCTAATTTCTCTGTGTTCGTATAACAGTGCTGTTTTCTACTGTTGTGATTTGAGCAGAGCTTTTGTAAAAGTATGAAGTAATTATTTAATTTTCCAACATTCTGTTATGTCTCTACAGTATAGAAAACATACTTCTTTCAAATATACTTAGATTTCCTTTTTCATGAGACAGTTACAAGGGAAGTATGAAAGAAAAAGGCAGAAAAAAAAGCCTCAAACCAATATATATATATATTGGTTTGAGGCTTCTTTTCATATATATATATATATACACACACACATATATATATATATATGTACATATATAGCCTTTTAATAAAAAAGGAAATTGTACATATAAATATTATTATTGATATAATTAATTTTTCATTAATGTAAATTTTGACAAATCTCAAATTTTAATGTATCATTTCTTAGTAATCTAGTATTGATATTTTCAGAAAATAATAGATTTTGCATATTACAGGAACTTGCAGATTAGTTTCTGTCCTCTTTTATTGATAGAATTGATTTAATATTGATTTTCTTTAAATGGCATGTTCTGTCATTTAGCATTATCATATACTTATTCTGTATAAAGCACTTCTGGGGCTAGAATAAAAGCAAAAGGTTTCAGGACATAAAAACATTTAAAAAATACTTATTGAGAAAGCATTCACTTTGTAAAAGACAAAAGGACTTAAGCTATAAAAACATCCCCTTTCTTCTAAAGATTTAGGCCAATACTTGATTACTAGACAGTACTTTAAAATTATGTGTTGTAATGATGAGGTATGCACAAATGACTATGAAATAATTATATATAACATTTTTGTACAGGTAGACTATAAAATGTTCATCTGAGAGCTGGGGAACCCTATAATGCACTATTAGTGTACAAGTCATTTTATCTGGCTAAAACTCAATTGTCTTGTAGCCCTCAAGGCATCAATTTTAGCATTATTGCTCTCAACAACAGTATATTGAATATTATGTCAGTTAAAGGAGAGTAATTATCAAGGCAAGTTAGGGTGGCTGTTAGTCTTACCACATATTGACTTGGTTAGCAGTTGGCTATAGATTGTGTTATCTGGGAAATGAAGATGTACGGTGAGTTGAACTGGTCAAGCCAGGATATTAATCTAACTTTCTTTAGACTTAAACCTACATTCTTTATGTATAGCCAACTACTCCTAACATTAGCAAGACTGTTGAATGTGAAAAGGGTATGTCATCTGTTTTTTAATCTGGGAGTCTGTGTTTGAAGGAGATGAGAAGGTCATTCAAAACTCATATCAAAGCTATCATTTGTGTATGATATTTAAAGAAAAAGGAAGTTAACAGGGATGCCCACAGCCACTGGAGATCTTGGAGTATCTGTTAAGGGGCCTTTCCCTTAGGTAACATCTATGTGCTATATAAGCCAGCCAGTTTATGCATAGCATAAATTGGACCACAACCATGTAAGAATGTGGGCCATTTCCTAAAGGCAGAAATCCCAGTGTTCTGTGTAGTTGCTAAAGTCTTCATTCAGAAAGTAGAGAGGGGGTATGTTCTGGAAAAGTAAAATGGGAATATTCACTTAAATACTAGAACATAAAGAAAGATAAGGGAGCATATTGTTCTGCTACTAAATAATAATGATAATAATAACACCAACATCATCATTACATCCTTTACAGATACATTTATTGACAACCAATTAAAACAGTGGCCTGTCATCTTCTTCTTCATTTCCTTTCTATCTTTGATGTAAGAAATAAAAATACAGATGATTGTTATTGTTTAATTTAGTCATTTAAAATTAAAACTTTTGCATATTCTCTCTTTAGCTTGAACATTTAGCTAGCTTGCCTGGGTAAATTACCATACTGTTTTTGTAAATCTCCCCACTTGCAAGCGAGTCCTTCCAGAATTCTAAGAACCAGTTCAGACTTTCTTATAGTTAGCAGAGTGCCAGCAGGCCATGAGCAGAGCAGCAGTGATGCCCATTGCAGGTCACCTGGGCCTTAATGGAGCAAGCCATGTATTTCTAACACTTCCCAAAGACTGACATCAGTCCAAGAAATCTAGCTTTCCATGTGGGAGGAACCGCATCCCGCCCTGAGCACTTACCACGCACAGTAACATAATAAAAGCCATGAGAACTTTCAAAGGAAAATACCTCTTCCTCAGCATGGGCTCCACTTAGGAAGGGTTTCTTCTACCTTCAAGTTCCCACTGTTCAGCCTGCATGGGTAATTTCTTCTCCTATAGGAATCAGTTGAAATCCAGTTTTTCACCAGGACTAGCTGAAACAATGGAGCCCTTCCTTTTCTGTTGTGATTATTTTATATCAAGATTGCTTCCTTCAAGCTCCCACCACAGTTTAAATACAGTCAGTCAGTTGTTAAAATGTCTGTCCTGCCATTGCTATAAAGTGCTATAAATTCACTCAATATATAGCAGTTAAATGGAAATATGATTAAATTTACAGTGTCATGATGGTTTACTATGGAACTCATGCAATATCCAGGAATTCCAGTTGGTCAAAGGGCCCTTAGCCCTTACTTACTAGGGGCTGACCCAACAGCGACATGTGTGCTACTGAAAGTAGCAAGAAGCAAAGGCTTGCAGACTTCCTAGACAGTGGTCTATGCAAAATAAACATTGTGTGGTAGAAAATGTCAATATTAAACAAACACATATTTATATGACCCCTTGAGAAGTAAATCCAGTGTTTGTTCTCTGGATCCCCATTGACACCCTCTTGTAGTTACTTTCAGTAAATTAACATTTAGTACATTGAGGTCCAAAGAGGTTATGCGTCTTTTCTATGATCACAGAAGCTAGTAATTGGCTTAGTTATGTATGGTGAGCTTCCTGAATATAAGAACCACAAATCTCTTTTTCTCTTCTTAGCCCACACCCAGCCCACATGTTGGCCATTTCCCAGTGTTCTGCGTGGGAAGGCAAATTCATGATTTGGATTCCTGGCTTAAAGTGTTACCAGGAGTAGGAAATTAGGCCTGTGCCTTTATTTAACATAAGTCCCTCACCTGTAAAACAGCATAATATCACCTCACAGCTTTGTTGTGAAAATAAAAGTAAGAGAATGTACATGAAGGGCTAATAAATCCAGCCAGTGACAGCTGTTAATATGATGATGAAAAGATGATGAACTAATACAGACTATCACCTACCCGCTCATTTTAGTTTTATAAAACAGCCTTGAATTCTGGTACTCTATATTTCACTATGCTCCTTAGAGCAGGATGCTTTTCCAACCCATCAGACAGCTATTCTGCTTTAAATCAATCATATGTACATAACCACAAACACAAACATGCATAGACATTTGAACATATTTGAATGTAAGAGAGGGGCAGGAAATAGTAGTAACAGAGATACTCTGCAATTGTACACCCTTGCTATGAATCGTGGTTTCGCCTTTGACAGCTGTTACTTAAGAGAGATATAACATATTGATACCAGTTTATCTAT